AACTATACAAGGTATTCCAGATTTCAACCGTCAGACTCCAAAATGTTATATACACCATGGATCGTTTCGTCTTTGCTTCCAAGACGTAGACAGAACTATTGATACTTGTCTAGTTGGAGCATCATTCTCGCATTCGGTGAAACGTAATTCTTTTTTGTATGAAATCGAGAACGTATTTAGGTGGGAAATCTAATGTACAGTGAAAAAACAGAAGTAACAACCTTGCTATAATATTCAGTAGGTGCCTATTTCCGTGCGCAAGAAGTGATCATTTTGAACAATTTGTGCAAAACTGAATCAGTGTAAAAATATAAGTATCTGATTACTTATGGCTTATACTTCCCCATTTTTTTTATATTTCGAAAACAAAGACGAATCCATCCATAGTATGCGTAACATTTTTTGCTTGAAACGCGTTTTAACTCCCAAACAACGTTGGCAAAGTTTGAAGATCGAGATCTGCGACACGTTGTATAATAAAATGTCTATCGACTACCGACACGCTTGTTACATTCTGTTCGTGTAATCTCGCATAATTACGGTATTATGCGTACGCGGTGTGTTGCCGGTCGGTGAAACGGATTGAATTCTTCCGCCGTTCGCTGTTACATGATCGACTGATATCGAAGCATAACGAGCAATAGGTATTTCTTATTGTAACGTAACACCAGCTTCTCTACAGTGTACATTTTAATCCGGCAAACAATCTCCACGATAACGACGTCGTCGTCTATAGACTATGAACACAGATCCACAGTCATTAGTATTCATAGATCTAGCGTGTTAATTACTCAATACTTAATCTTTCCGTGGTAGTTATAACGCGTGTATGATATACGATCCATCGTAGCGATTTTATAATAATAATCTGCGCGCGAGAAATTCAAACGAATTGCACGTATACTACGTGTATATACGTAGCTGATAGCGAGAACAATCTGCAGGTCAATTTATTAGGAAATTCATTCAATAAGTGGAAACGAGGCAAGATGCCGTACTTTGCACGTAGCCGATCACTCCATGACGAGTTTAAAATTTAACCACAGGACCGACACTCGGCGAAATTGGCGCGTCGCGTCATTTCCTTCTTTCCTTTCGTCCGCGAAATTCGACTCGATCGAACGAATCAGCAACGGTCTAGGCGTGACGAACCGCGTTGATGCATCAGAATTTGCTCGAACGTGAATTGCATAACTGAAAGATCGTGAATGGAACAATCGAATGAAACATTCGACTCACAAAGCTAAGGCTCATCTCTCGTAACCGTGCAGTGATTATGTTTCGTTTGATTTCGTTAAGCCACCTTACGCTCCTCTTTTCGTTTGTTCTCCGTGTTTTCGCGATGAAGAATGCATCGGCGCGTCTCCTTGCCAAGGCTGTCGAGGGCGTGCAAAAAGGAGACGCGGTGACAGGAAAAAACGACGCGACGCGCGAGAGAGGGTCGCGAATTTGCAAACACGTTTTCAAGAAGAGTCTTGGCCGCCGCCGCCGCCGCGTCGCGACGATGATCGATAAATTTAATTATCGTGCGCCACGATTGTTCTCTTTCTTTTGATATCGGGATTTTCAGATATGATTTCCAGACCACGATGCCGGCGGTGTCGCGTTCATTAGCGTCACAGATAATGATAAGATAACGAGAAGTGAGCGAAGTAAACAGACCTGGAAAGATCTGACTCGCGATCACCGACCCGTTCTTAGTTACGTCATTTCTAAACACCTCTCGCTGCCTGCTCGCGAGCTCGTGATTTCACACGGTGGAGCATGGCTCGGAAGAACGAAAAATAAAGATGAACGGAGTTCCATGGAACGGAGTTACGAAAATCTTTGTCTTCGAACGCGTACGTACGTAACTTCTCAAGACACGACATTCGTTTCAGTCACATATCTTCAATCATCAATTTTCATAGACACCTACGCGTAAATGCATTTTATCTATTCTGTAACAAGAACAAA